ATTACAAGTTATCTTTTATAAAGTAACTGTTCAAATCACTGACATAAGTTTTTCATTTTAATTTGTATAAAAAAGCTAATTTTACCAATTCTCATGTTTTTAAAATAAGCTTTTTATTTTGGAACAGTTTTAGACTTACAGATTTACTGAAGATATTACACATATTTCCCACATACTTTTTCTTCAGTTTTCCCTATTATTCACATTTTACATTAGCATATTATATATTCCATAATTAATAGACCAATATTAGCATGCTGTCATATCCAAACTCCTTCTTTTATTCATATTATTTTTATCAAACATCTTCTGTCTCATAGTTCCAACACAGGAAACATCAACTTAATAATCACATTTCCTACAGCATTTACTGATTTTGGCTGTTTTTCAGACTTATCTTGCTTTTGGCAAACAATGACAGTTTTGAGGTGTCCTAATTCGGTATTTTGTACAATGCTCTTCAATTGGACTTTCTCTGATGTTTTCACATGGTTAGAGTGGGATTGGATTTTTATACTCTTTTGCTTCATTTTTAACTCTTAAAGTCACCATTATATTACATCATAATCATTTGAATTATTAACAACTTTCTCAGTATGATTAAAAATTAAAATGTTTAAAATGGTTCCTGCTCCAATAGATTTAAGTTAATGTTTCAAAGTGAATTACCAATCCCACCAGGGCCCTAAAATGAAGTTTTGTTTTATATTCTTTCCTGCATAAAAACCACACAAGTAATATTCATATAAAGATCGTCTTTAAGATACAGTAGTAAAGTCACAGATAGGTGATTTTAACTAATTACTAAACTTCCAGGGAGCTGTTATTATAAATAAGGCTTAATTTATTCTTTTTAAAAAATTAAATAATACATTTTTATATAATTTCTTCCAAATCACTGGAGGACTAGATGAAAACTGTAGCAAAATAATATTGCAATTGGCTTTAAAGAGTAAATACAGCCTTGAAATCCCCTTATTACTACCTAATTTGATGTAATTAACAGTTATCACTAAGCTGTTTTAATTTAATAAAGGATGCAAAAGTAGCAGGTTAGCTTATGAAGAGAGAAAAATAAGCTTCATTAATAAGCCACTGAAGTAGGTCATTTTCTCATGATACAATGATGGAAAAATATCACAGGAGTTTTCATGTCAGACAAGCTCTGGATTCTATCCATATTTTCATAAAATGCTTTAATAACTGTACACCAGTTTGAAATCCATCCATAATCCTAAAGTCAAGGTCAACAAAGAGAAACACCCAACAGGAAGTTACAGTGTTCACCCCAAAGAAGCGTTGCCTAGAATGATGTTGGTAGCCTCAACTGAGTTAGGGTGGTGGCATGCACAGCCAGCAGGGGTGGAGGGGGGAGCTGAAAGAAGGATTTTATTAGCTATAAAAATTATTAATCTATGTTACTGTTAGATATCATAGCACCTAACGAAAGAATAACAAAGCCACTGATGAGATGCACTGAGAACCACAGTAAAGAGAAAATAGAAGTCAGTCACACAATTTGGAGCTGCAGGTAGAGTTTCTGGGTGCTACAGGCATCCTGCGTCTGGCAGACTGCTTGGTCTACTGTGGGACTCAACAAGCAATCAACAGAAAAAATGAAGGGCCAGGGCTATAACTCAGTGACTAAGTGCTTGGCTGGCAAGCATAAGACCCTCGGTTTGACCTCTGGCATTGAAAACACTTAAATAAAGGAAAATAAAAATAATTGAGTAAGTGTTTGCACAAGAAGAGCATGGGTGGCTACACCAAAGCCTCTTGGCAAATGTCTAAAAGCCCTTTGGGCAGCCCCACAA